GATTCCAGAATATCAAATGAGATTGTAGCATTTTTGTCAATACTTGGATTGCTTTGAAAAATTAAATCAGTTAGAAATTTAGGCCGTTGCTCAGCTATATTTCTAATAATTTGGTAAAAGCTAGCTTTAAGTGCTTTTTTGGTTTTGGTTGCAGGTTTAATTTCTTTTCCTGGAATAAAATCATGCAAATTAGTTTTGAGAAAGTCAAAGAGTTGTTTAGAAAGTAGAGTTTGAAGTTTGTTATTAGGCTTCATTTCATCAGAAATAGGAAAGTTGTAAAGCCAATTGAAGATAGGTTTGAGTTTCTTTTTTGGAGTATCTAAATTTTCAGTATTAATAGTTTAGGCAGTATTGGTAGCATGACAGAAGTTCTTGTTAATTGGCTAAAAATTTTAATGATCTTCATTAAATGTGATTGGCTAACATTTTTTAATATTATTACTTATCGCAGTACGTTTTATGTTAAAAGTGAACTCTAAAACATAGTGAAGATTATATACGTATAAAATTTTCTTAAAATGTATGAACTTATTATTGAACCTCAATATAGCGAATTTAAAATCTTTATACGTGGTATTAATAAAACAGATCATTTTGTTATAAAGTAGCTTGTATTATAGTGAAGCGGGAGTGGGTATGCAATACAGTACTGTAGTACAGCATGTATCGCTTATGACAAATTTTGCCTGCAATGACAAAACGGCATTATTTAGCATATGTATTACATAAATAAACAATAAGTCTTCTCACATTCAAAATAGTAAAGTCCAAAGTTATGTAAAAAATAAAGTCAAAATACCTTGGCCCCTGCTCAATTATTAATTGCACCTACACAAATGTTAATTTCCGTTCAATCACAGAAGTTGCATATGCGAAGTGTTGTAGAAAACGAACACTAGAAGTGTACCCTTACCTCGAGCTTGGAAATCAACTCTGCCACCCGCATTATTGTAAAATTGTAGAAGGTGACAGAAACCAACGAAATAAAACAAAAAAAAAAAAAGGCATATCAAAAAAAGACAAGTATTGGAACCGATAGAACCAGTATCAAACAATGACTTAGGTAATTGTGAATTAGTTTTTTTTTTTTTTTTTTTTTTTTTTTGTAATAACTTTTTTATTATTATAGATTTCACTTCAAATATACAAATGTTAACAGATGCTTTGTACTACTGGCAATGTCGAGAATGTGCTAGTTTGGAGTTAGATCCAACAAAATTCGAATATATGATTGAAAGTATTAATCCTCAATTAAAAGGTTTTTTTAGATTTATGGTAAATGCAATTGTTCCAATGGAATGCTCAGCCTATAATATTCAAGAAGCCAAGAAAACAATTGTTGGGTTGTGTTATCAAATAGCAGGTTTGTACAACAAATTTGTGAATCAATATAAATTAGAAGTTGGTTTATATTTAATGGCATCAGGAGCAACATGGGAGGCTATTAATACAATTTCAAGTCTTGAATACTCAGCATGTGCTAAAACAATAGAGGAATTTCGCAAAAAAATTTATAAAGAACATACAATTAAAATAGAAAATCATTTTATGAATTATGTAAATTAATGTTAATTTGAATATGTGTATATTAAATATATGTATACTAGTGTAATTTTTTTATTTTTTTTTTATTTTTTTTTAGACAAGTTTATTTCATGTTTACAATATTGATAATTATCATGCAATTCATAAAAATCGTAGACCCGACACTGTTTCAACTTCAGACGCAAAACATTTTGCTACTTGCGTAGCAAAACCAGTTCTCAAACAACATTCTGTACCAATAATGTTTAATGAAATATCAATTCATAATTCAGAAAATGTTGAATCATCAAGAATTTGTTGGTACTTACTTAAACGGTATACCGGAATTTTTGATATATCATATTCTGATTATCGATCGCTTCAAATTTTACAAGGTCGTTCAGTTATTACAGAATATGATCCGATTGAAACATTAACAATTCATAGTTATGCTGATAATATAATAGAACGTAAGGAAGAATGATCAATGAATGGACTTCAATTAGTAGGATTTAAAGAACAGCACCTGCATTCATTACAAGACTATGTTAGTGCTTTAAATATGATATTATTAATAAATAATAAAGCACAACATTTAAGCAGATGTGTTGCACCAATTGTTGCAGATTGGCCCGAGCAGATATTCATTAGAAAAGCATTATATATGCGTACATTACTGAATCCGCAAGCTGCTATCCCAAATGAAATTGAATTATTTTTACCTATATTAGGCCTACTCCATCTTTTATTAAACAGTAGAGAACAAGTTTTAATAATTTACTATTCATTTTTTGAAAAATTATTCCATTTCGTATTTGGAGAACAAAAAAAATTAGCAAAAAAACCTCGACTCTGGAGAATAAACCTAATTTTAGAGCTCACACGTAATAGTTGGATAAAAATCAAAAATAATATTATTAGAAAATTTGGCCAAACATGCAAAGACATAGAGTATTGTATGTTACTTGACTTACTTGATAATTTAGTTCCAGCAACACTTGACATCTATGCAATTTTATTCCCTTCGGGTCAATTTGACGAATATGTAGCAACTGTTTTTCATATCTGGACGTTTGCTCTGCGTTGGAAAAGAAAAAATTATAACAAAGCCCCCCTTGTTTTTTTGTCGGATGTGTTTTATTGGAAAGATAATAATCACCCTTTTTTAAATGTATTACAAAAGCATTTACCAAGTTTAAATGAATATTACGTAGAGAATACACATAGTAAAATTCGGGCCAATATATCACAAAATGCAACAACTGATAACATTATTAAACAAGCCTATGTAATTATGAATCATGATACCACATTTAAAGATACATACAGTAAAGCACGTAGATATCCTTACAACATAAGAACACTTGATTTTTTATATAACAAGACTGCTCTTTTTCTTGTAAACCATTTTTAAGAAGTGTTTTATAACCATGGAATGAGTGTTCAAAAACCTGCTGAAGAAGCTGAGGAAAAAGCTGCCAAAGAAGCTACAAAAAAAGCTGCCGAGAAAGCTGCAGAGGAAGCTACCAAAAAAGCTGCAGAGGAAGCCACCAAAAAAGCTGTCGAGGAAGCCGCCAAAAAGATCACCAGGAAAGCTACCAAGAAAACCACCAAGAAAACCATCACTAAAAAAGCTAGCAAAAACGATATCAAAAAAGTTAGCAAAAACAATACCAAAAAAGTCAGCAAGAGAGGTACCAAGAAAGCTGTTGAAAAAGCCAACAAGAAAGTTACTAAAAAAAACACCAAGAAAAAAAAACCACCAGAAATATACTATCTTTCTACTTTAAAAAAAGAAATGAACATGCGATACCTACTAATGGCATATAGCACGTCACATCCTCCCGATCCCGAATTATGCGATTATTGTAAACTTCCATTTAATAATAATGGTGTGATATTAGCTTGCGGTCACGGCTACCATATGTGTTGTTATAGTGGGAGGTGCGTTTACTGCGAAGAATTCTACAAAAAAGGGATTTTTGAAAATGTCAATTCATTCCTAAAACATATAGAAAAAGGCGCAGATATACTTACAAAGGAGGATCTTGATGATGACGACGAAGATAATGTAGAAGAAGATACAGAAGAAAGATCCGAAGTAGAAGAGCAGCTAGAGATTTCATCTAAATTAGCAGCACAAATAGAACAAATAGAATGCTGGTAAAACAGATCAAAAGACAACGCAAAGATAGACAAACAGAAATAAGAATATCGATGATTACATCGAATATGAAAATGCAGTTGAATGGATTCCTTAATGGATTAATAAACATTCAAACGATTAGTAAAGGAGGATTTAGCTTAGTATATTCAGCAATATGGTTAGATAGCAAAAAAAAAAAATTACACATATCAACGTACATTAGGCCATATAAAATTAATAAATTGGTTTTCATAACCTGGCCGGGTCAAAGTTTGAAAACTTTAAAAAAAAATTTTTTTATGTTTTAATAACCGGTAGGTTTTTGAAAAAAAAATTTATAGTATTTTACATATAAAATTTAAAAAAAAAACTGGCTGGCCGGCCGGGTCTGATTTAACAATTCATGTTATGAAAACCAAGTATTTAAATTTGTATAGCCTTACGATTAGTAGCATAAAAATTTTTTTTTTAAAAAAAAAAAAAACTTAAATAATTGCATATATGCATATAGTATTAACGGTAATTACAAAAACTAGTGTCTTACTAAAGTAACGCAAATGAAGTGATCTTCGTAATGGGGTTTCAAAATATGATTTCGAAGCACTTGAAGAACATACTGGCGAAGTTCTGCAGCAAACTGACGAGTCCTTTCATGTGCCGTCATATGATAAACTTTTCTCTTATTAATTTATATGTAAAATCTTGTGTAACATACATGCATTAAAATCGAACTTCTGTCATGCTAGTATTAGTAGATTGAAGTTGTTCGGTATTTTTAGCTTTTCCTTTATTAATATTTTGTTGGTTTGTATTGATATTAGGAGTGGGAGTATTTGAGGTAGTTGCTGTAGAAGTAGTAATTGTTGGAGTGGGTTTGTATTAGTTTGTTGAGTTGGAGTTTTGTTAGTTAGAGTAGAGTTTGTGTTAGTTTGGGATGAGGGGAGAGTTAGTAATCAGAGTGTTTAAATAGGTAACTCACAGGCAGGTTGCAGGTATGGCAGCATAGTATAGAACTAACAGATGGTCGATCGTCTATATGGCGGACTACTTAAATTAGACAATGACTAAAGTTGTATGTATG